CACTTTCCCTAGAGGTAGAACAAAAGCTTTGGTTCCTTTGCTACACATTTCCAGTAACACATTTAAGCACCATTTGCAAGCACTGGCTCTGCCATGGCATCAAGAAGGTCCAGAGTGAGCCACTGCACTGCCAATACTCTACAGCTCATTTTTTATTGTGTTGTGAAATTCCCATCAGGAAAACAAGCCTCAAGCCAAAGGATTCCAAATGCAGCTCCACCAAAGTACAGTTCAAGGAACTAGCAAAGTAGACGAGTGCTTTACTACAAAGATGAACTTTGTAGTAAAGCACTCAGTAGACAGGTTGGCATAGAGGAACTCACAGAAATGAAAGCTAAGCAATACAGTATCAGAGTAAGGTTCTCAGACCTACGCTGGAGCTGTGTGGAAGTGATTGTGCTGGGAATCGTTTTACAGGCAAGACAGAAGAAGGTCAGTGAATGCTTTCTGTCCTGGCACATCTCAGTCTGAACTGAACTGGAAACACCTCGCTGTAAGGATGGTCTCTGCCACCTTGAGAGGACGTGAGGATGCTCTGTAGTTGAGAAGGAAAGTGCATCTCTCCAGGGAGCTGGATGCAGCTCAGTGGGTGCACGTTACATGTTACGACGCTGATCACAGAAAAGGTTCTAAAGAAAGAGGCCTTGCTAGAATTGCCTTTTCTTTTGCAGCCTATAAACTGCAAAGCAAATAGTAAAACATCCTTCTCTGCCGGATGCAGGATCACATCCTGTCAGGGCCCAAGAGCCAGGATCCACAGCGGAGCTCTTGCCCACACTGCTCCCACATGAACGGGGCTGGGCCAGGAGAGCGCTTGGCTTTGTGCTGGGCACTGCCAGCGCTCACCAGAACCACCACACGATGGTGGTGTCGACTTGGGAAGGAAGGAAACGCACCGAGCCCAGCTCGAAACCAACCCCCACGACACAGCCAAGTCGGAAACGTCCCCGCTCCCTAATCAACCGTGTCAGGACAAAAAGATTTCCCCAGTCTTCCCCTTCCAAGTGCAAAGACTTCTTTGCACCCCACTCAAAGAGCAACACGAACTTCTTTGCCCTAACAAAGTTTTGCACTCTCCCAGAGTCCAGCCATCAAACTTGAAAACATCTGGCAAAAACAGAGCTCACGTAAGCTGCCAACTGAGAAAGCTCTTTCTGCCTACAACTTCAACTGCATCAATTTACCAGCACACAGCCTGCTGTCAGCACTTTCCTTCTCGGCTCTAAGCACCATATGAAGCCCTCAGTCTCCCAGAGTTTGGATCCAAAGAGAACGGCAGTGGGGACTGCTCACACACTGAAGGTGCTAGGACAAAAAGCTCAAGAGTCTGGTGTTTGCACTCCCCCTAGCAGCTGAACAGCTCTAACCCAGAGAATTGCCTATTGGGAAAAGCCTCTAAATTCACTAACAATACCCAGTGTGTGGCTCCAAACTTGCTTTCCTTGCCAAAGAGAGGAACTACAAGCCCATCTCCAAAGAAATGGCATCCCCCTTCTAAATTACAAAACATCCAGGGACTGATCCCATACAAAAGTGCTGGAGCACTGTTACTGGGCACTACCTACCCAGGGTTCTACATCAGCCACACACCAAGACTCTGTGTCACTGCTTACCTTGCCTGAAAGATGTGTGCTGCCAGAATTTCAGAAGGCCACCTCTGGGAAGTGGAAGCCACATGCCAAATTCAATCTTTCAGGAGACCACCTTCCTAAGATGGATACCAACTCCTTAGTTGTACAAACCGAGGCAGTGTTTCCACACTATGCCAAGACAGCTCTCCTCACTGCTGAGTTCCCACTCCCTTTCCTCATCCTTCCAGCAGGATGAGCTCTGTGAATCCCCTTGACCCTCCCCACTCTTCCCAGCCCAGTGCCTTGCACTCAGTGTTGGCAAGTGTTGTGTTCTCATCTCCTGCAGCCTATGGGAAAACAGCCTGTGCTGCCAGGCCAGCACTGCCCCTCTGGGCAGGGACAAGGCTGAAGGGCTTTCCCATTCCAGAGGAGCCAGCACTGAGCCAGAGCAAGGCCTGGCAGGGCTGGAGCCGGGTCCTGCCTGTTGTCCAGGACTCACTGCCCACCAACTGCCCTGATGCACCGTGCTCTGCTCTACAGGGACAGAAGGGTCTGTGTGTGCCAGGGGCCCTTGGATGTCCCTGTATCCATGGACAGAAGGTCTGTCTGTACAAGGGTTTCTATAATGTTGTTGTACCCACGGGTATGGGATGAACATGGAGAGTAAAAGTGTCAATGCTTGCACACTCCGTCCTTGTGCCCATCTATGCACACCCCACGTATAGATGTATTATAAGGATAGGGATGGACAGAGATTTCTCCCAGAGCTCTAACTTTGGCATAACTCACCTTGTAAGCAGGCAGCCACGGGATTTTTTTCCCAGCTCTGTGTGAGAAGGTGTCTGAGAGCTGAAGGAGCAGCATTCAGAAGCAGTTTCAGGATTTCTAGGCAGGAAGTGGAGCTGACAATCATCCACGTAACTCGCTGTAGTCATTGGGATGGGCTGCTGCTTCTTTAGGAATATGGCACGATGGAGACAGGAGACTTGGAAAAATCCCAGCTCTCTGTGGATTTGTGCAAAAGGGGCAGCAGCAGAAACACTTTGGGCCTGCTTGGGGGACACAAGTCCAAGGAGCTGGGGTGGCAGAGGGTGACCTGGGCTGGTAGCAGGTCAGATCCTGTGTCATGGCAACACAGAGTGGCACAGGACAAAATAAAAGCACACACAACCCCACTGATGAAGACTTTCTGATGGTGCACATCCTACAAGAAAAGCTGCTGTCACACAATCCATTGGAATTTATAACTTTTATTTGCAATACTTTAGGTCCAAGTTTCAAACTGCAATATTTTTACACTCAAGACACAGTCATGCACAATCCATATTTCAATTTCCTATTGCTTCAACCACAATTTAAAATAACTTAATATTGGAAACAAAACCCAAAATCTTTAAAAAAAGGATGCTGAGGTCAATAAGATGGATCCATGCCATCAGCACATTTACAAAGTAAATAACTTAGTTCTCCTTTTAAAAAGATCAGTTACCTCTTAATCCAAAGTTACAGAAGATTTTTCACTACACATTTGTTTTTTGTTTTTCTCTTTCATATTTTTCTGTTTTTCTTTTTTCTTTTTTTTTTTTTAAACAGATAACACGTCCTAAAAAAGGAATGTACAGCAAAATGAGATACATTTCTGATAAACAATGAAAATGTAGGCTCCTCCTCTGTTTACTTTTGTCTGGATACCCTGAAGAAAAAAATCTAGCACACACCAGCATAGGTGTAAACTGGTTGCTTTGGACTAAACTGGAGTTTAGCATTGGTGACATCCTGATCCAGTCAAGAGTTGCAGAATTCTTTTGCAGATCTCAAACCATGTGTTTGCAGGCAGAGCACCTGCAGTGCTGACGCACCAGTGCACGAGAATAACTCTGTTAACGTTCCCCCACAGAATTTGGGCTCTGCCCAAGAAGGAGGTGCTACAGTCCTTAGCTCCTGGTTCCTGTGTGGAGCAGCTCCCTTCTGCTGGCTGAGCTGCTCAGGCAGCTCCTGGCCCTGCAGGGCTGAGGCCTTCCCCCCTTGCTGTGCTACAGACGGATTTAGCAGCATTGATCAACGTGGGGATACACAGAGGGACCAAAAGCAGTTGCCTTTGTACAGCTTAAGCTCAAAGGTCAAAAATCTCAAGAGACAATGTGGAAGAGACCCACAGGCTGCCTGTCTGCTGTGCTGACCCACTTGTGACCAGCAGAGTTTTGTGTGAGGCAGAGTGAGAAAAGGGGCAGCTCCCCCCACAGGCAGCCAAGGACCCCTCCAGCCCGGGGCTTGGGGCACTGCCAGCACCTGCTGCTTCAGCAACCACTTCAGCTGTCATTGAAAGCAACAACCAAATTCTCACTGGCTCCAGAGGGAGCAGCAGCAGTGCTTGAATTTGATCCCTCAGCCTGGGGCAGGGCTGGACACACAGCATGCAGCAGGAAATGGACCTTTCAAAACAACCTCCTGCCACTACTCCCTCCCATTTGCAGTGGTGTCACACCAGCCTGAGGCATCTGGGAAGCCTCAATGCACTGACTTCAGATGGCAGGCCCTGGGCTCCTGGAGGTTTTGCAAGGAACAGAGGTGGGGGCTCCCTCCCCATATTGAGTTTCCAGATGGAAAAGGCTGCTGTGACCAGGCAGCTCAAAGGACAGAGAAATGAGGGTCTCAGCCACTTTATCTGTGCCAGTTACACAGTCATGGGTAGCAGCCACTGAGCACAGGGGGAGCAAAGGGCACAGAAAGAGGGACAAAACTAGTCAAGTGCAAAGACTGGAAAGAGTGAGACCTGGGAGGAGTACTATGCTGCTTCATTCCACCCTTTTGGAAAGCTCTTTCCTGCTTCAAACCCCTGAGAGGCACGAAGGGCAGAGAGGAGGTTACACATAAACGATACTCATGTTTTCACACACTCACCCTCTCAGTGTTCTAGAAGAATTTGGATGAAATGTATTCTTCTCCCCGAGTCATCTCGTTTACCATGAGCAAATCAGCACTAGCTGACCAAGAAGAAACTTTTTGATCAAAATGAAGTTGCTAATATGGACCTAGCTGAATCCATCAGATAGAACCTCAGAACTGTAGAATATGTTGGAAAAGACCTCTGGATACCAGGGTTGGAACCTGTTCTAGTGGCTGGTATCCATAATCCTGTAACACCAGGGAGTTGTGATTCAAAGGTGTGTGCACCTGTGTCTGACAGCTCTTCTGACCTGCATCCATGGCTGCCAACCCAGGCCATGGTGCCCAACCCTGCTCCTTTTGGCTCTGTCCCTGAGTTGGGCGAGGCAGGTGCTGCTCACAAACCTCCAGCAGCTGCAAAGACGGTGCCACCAAACAGAGCAGAAGGTGCCTTACACACAGTGCTGAAGCTGATGTGTGGTCTGCTTGAAAACTGTGCAGGGAAAAGTCACTGTGATCACAGACTATTACATCAATTAGCAGTTTTCAGTATTATCAACTTTAACTATTGATATTACCTCCAATTTCCTCAGTCAGGGCGAGACTCTCACAGAACTCAAGGGCTTGCCTGGGGGAATTGCTAAGCAGCAAGAACAAGGTTTGCAGGCTTGTGCCCACGTGGCAGCCCAAAGGGCACCCATAGAGAACATATGGGCATCACTCCTCTTTGCTATAAGACCATTTTTTCCTTTGAGATAACTCTTGTAACCAAAGGTACATGCAACTGTTGGTAGGCTCAGGCCAGTGATGGTTTGCAGGCATGATGCACACCTAGGATTATGGCAATCAGCTTTAAACTGCATCCAGAGAGGGATGGATAAGTGAGATTCTTCAAGTTTCAGTGAGAAAAATAAAATTACCCTGTCAGCTCAAGGACAGACACAAGCAAAGAGAGGTTTCAAAGATCCCTGAAGTGCAAATCACACTCAAAAAAAGCTTGGATGGTTTCTCTTGAAAGACAAAGGTTATCCTTTGCCTGCTTCCTGAAAACTTGGGATAAAATTGGAGATATTTACCTGGTAAGGGGAGTGGAGAGGGGAAAAAAAAGGGGATGAACACTTACAGGTCTTCATTAACCCATCATTAAGTCGCTGCACATCTGGGCATGAATGAATGGTCCAAGAGGAAGCAGGAACACCAGGAAGGTGTATGGACCACTGACTTGGCAGCACTTAGCAAGGCAAAGCTGGCACTTGACTGCATGTCCTGGGTGTCAAACAAAGAAACACTGGCTCCTTCCTTTAATGGCAGATGTCACAGGGCTCTCTCTGGCTCTTGGCTCACTAGATTTGGTCAGGACTGGACTAAGAAATACAAATATTTACATGCTCAGTGTGAGGAATAGTCAGTAGCCACACCAAGGATTACATACTGGAAATAACTGCTGTATGGACAATAGAGAACAGTGACATTTCCTACAACTAGAGGACAGGAGACAGGTACTTCCCTTCTCATGGTGACTGGAGTGTGCTTTATTTGTGGTGGCAGGACATAGGGAAGAACTGACTCAAAGACCTGCCAAAGTGCAGTCACAGGCCTCAAAGAAACTCAGCACAAATCCTTGTTCTTTTGTGTGTAGTGAGTGGCCAACCATTAACCGAAGATGAAGAATAAATATATTTACAAAAGCACTGGACACAAGAAATGGGAATGTAACCCTGGCCCAAGTTTGGGATCCAACCCTGAGAGCACTGTAAGATCCACCCCCGTGCAGGTTCCCAGGAGTGCATGCAGGAGCTGTGTGGAATTTTACATAGGTATGGTTATCTTTTTTTATTTTTTTTTCTTAAATAAGTAAACTTTTCTGTGCTCCTCAAACTTCCCTGACTTTACTGCTACCATGCTTTTGTCCCAAAACACATTGAAACTACAGTGAGCTATTGGCTCATTTTTGCATGTCTTCACTGCAGGGATGGGAATCATAGTCAAGTTCTTGGTTAGGGTATTTCACTGTTTAATTTAAAAATGACGGCAATTAACCAATCTTTTAAAACCTTGGAATAAAAGTGTCTGAAACTTTTAGTTTTCATATTGCAACAGAAACACACTATTTCTAATACTTCAAAAATACATATAACTAATTGCTTGATCTGAGGATAGCAGTCAGAAAACCCAAGGTGGCTCTTTCCTTTCTGCAAGGCCAATGCTATTGTCAATCCTAATACACTCTGCGAGCCTGTAAATAATGTACAAGACCTGACCCCCCAGGACTGGATTTTTGTGGGTTTGTGTTGTTGGGTTTTTAAAAAACGCTTGTGTCTTTTCTACATTTAATATCCAGGCTGGGAGGATGCAAACACAGCATCCTTTCAGTATCAATGTGTGTGAATCAGCACCAGAGACTGTCCCAGCACGGAGCCACAGGGATACTGGAGGTACATTCCTTGCATGTCATAAAGTCTCAGCTGGGCAGGTACAGTCCATGCTGAAAACAGCCACAGGCAGAGATTATTTCTGCTGAATCTTGTCTGCCTCCCAGGAACTGGCTTTAAAAGAAAAATCTCCAGATTTGCAAAGAAAAAGAAATATAGTATTTAATAAAATTAAAAGTAAGGCCTCTTAGGACAGCGGCTGTCTTTAAAAAGTCAGTGCCAACAATATTCCGTATGCTGAGGCATACACTGATTAGAAAAACAAAAGCTATCATTTGATTTCCTTATTTTTCATACCTGCTGTCTTCTGGAAAGTCGTGGTGCTGGAGTTTTTTTTGAAGTAGAGATGCTGAAATACTTATAGGTAAAGGAAATAAATAGGAAATTCTCCCCTTCCCCAATTAAATAGTTTGTCAACAGAAGTATTTAGACTGTATGTCCAGCAAACATGTACCATTACAAAGTGCTTTCCTTTTAAAGGATGGTTGTCTGTTCTTTTGTGGATAGGAAAAAATAAAATACATACTGGAAACAGAAACTGTCACTCATTTCTTCACTTCTTACAGGAATACAAACATATTTCATCCTGCTGAATGCTTTACACATTGAGAGCAGCCCATCTCCAGCCCAAATTACTCTTTCCCAAGGAAGCTTCTCCTACAGACACAGATCTTGAGCTGACAGACAAAAATGGGACCTCACAAGAGAAACAAAGTCTTCTAAACAGAACAGAATCATTCATGTTGGAAAAGACTTCTGAGCTCATGGAGTCCAACCATCAACCCACCACTGCCAAGCCCACCACTAAACCTGTCCCCAAGTACCCTATCTACAAATCTTTTTAAATCCCTCCAGAGATGGTGACTCAGCCACTGCCCTGCATAGCTCTAATGCCTGACCATCTTTTTGGTGAAGAGATTTTTCCTATATCAAATCTAAACCTTCCCTGGAGCAACTTGCAGCCATTTCCTCTCGTCCCATTGCTTGTTATTTGGGAAAAGAAACTGATTCCCCCATTGCTCCAACCTCTTTTCAGGTAGCTGTATACTGCTGGCTCATGTTCAGCTGCTCTCAATGAGCACTCCCAGGTCTTTTCGCACCAGGCATTTTCCAGCCACTCTTTCCCAAGCCTGGAGCTGCAGGGGGTTGTAGTGACCCAAGTGCAGGATCTGACACTTTGCCTTGTTGAACCTCATCCAACTGGCCTTGGACCAGCAATCCAGCCTGTCCAGATCCCTCTGCAGAGCCTTCTTCTCCAGCAGATCAACACTCCAACCCAGCCTGGAGTTACCCGAGGGTGCCCTTGATCCCCTTGTCCAGATCACTGATACAGACATTGAACACAACTGGCTCCAGCACCCAGCCCTGGTGACAGCCCCAGCAGGATGTAACTCCATTTCCCACACCTCTCTGGGCCCAGCCATCCATCCAGTTTTTTTTTCCCCAGAGAACAGTGTACCCATCCAAGCCATGAGCAGCCAGTGTCTCCAGGAGAAAGCTTTGGGAAACACTGACACAGGGTTTACTAAATTCCAGGGAGACACATCCACAGCTGTTCCTCTCATGCCCTAGGCAGGTCATGCTGCTGTAAAAGGAGATCAGGCAGGTCAGGCAGCACCTGCCTATCACAAACCCACACTAGATGGGCCTGATCCCGTGGTTGTTCTGTATGTGCCACGGGATGGCACTCCAGATGATCTGCTCCGTGACTTTTCCCAGCACTGAGGTCAGGGTGACAGACCTGTAGTCCCCAAGATCCTCCTTCCAGGTCTTCCAGGAGATCAATGTACATTTGCTGTAGTCCAATCACCTGGCATGTCCCCCTTAGCCAGGACTGCTGGTAAAAGATGGAAAGGGGCTCAGTGAGCTTGGATACTCCTGCCCCTATTCACCTCCTGCTGTAGCTCTGGCCCAAAGTGGAGGAGTTCCTCTAGCTGGGCATGTCCCACAGCTGCACTCATGCTGCTGCCACCAGGACTGGCCTAAGAGCAGGGCACAACCTGCAGCTGCCACCTGGCTGGCAGCCCGATCCCACCAGAGCTCTGTCTGGGTCGCTGCATGGATTGCGGTGGGTGCAGGACTTAGAGAAGCCATGGCTTTCTGTTGGGTGGACACCATTGCTCCCTGGTCAAGCTGGCAGGGCTTCAGCACCTTCCTGCACACCCTTCTGCACCATCTGCTGTGCTATGGTCTGTTAGCCTGTCCTGGCCATTCTCATTCCCCAAGGGCTTCTTTTAGGGAGGAAACTTGGCTGCCATTGCTCCAGCTCCAGTCAACCACTGTTGCTCCAGCTGTGGGCTCCTGGCAGCTTCCTCAGCTCCTCCCGATGTTCCGTCAGTCCAGGAAACCAGAGCTGCTTGCCTCGGTGTGTTATTTGGCCATCTGAAAAACTGGACCTGTTGTGCTCCCCAGGAAATGAAGAAAAGTCAATTTCTACTTAGGTGTGGTAACTCAAGGAGGGCTGTCCCTGCCAAGGACACTGCGGTGGCCAGCGTGAGCAAGGGGAGCAGCAGTAAGGACACTTGCCACACGAAGACTGCAACTAAACAGGATGCCAAAGCTAGACATGCTCCTGGCCTGATTCAAGGACAGCCCAAGCATCCTTCATTCCTGCTGGCCAGACATGAAGACAGTGAGCACCTTAAAGGCTACTTAACCCTTTGCAGAACCAGGCCAACGTGAAGATCTATAGCAGAAAGCTGTTTTACTGTGGGGGTTTTTTGCTCACTGAGTGCATGTTGCTTCAGTTGCTGTTTTGAAGATCTTGCATGAGTTGTACTCCTAAAACACAGCAACAAATACGCCATGCAAATGCTTTTACTGAGTGAAGCCACACTGTGTCTTTCAGAAACAAATAAATAAAACACAGATTGTATACTGAAAGTATTCTGCTCCCTTCCAAATCTGCTGACTAGTCAAGCACAATCCTCAGGCACATCCCCAATTCCATCTCTTGCAGCAACTCAAGAGCTTCATTGCGCAGTGCTTGCCATACACAGGACAGCAGAAAGCAGGCTGGCCTGGTGCCTCCAAGTAATTCTGAAATTAATTCCACTTTGCATTTCACACTTTTGATCTTGCTCAGTGTACAACTCCAGGTTTTAAGGCGCTTTCTTCCCGAGCTGGCTGCTGCACTGGCTCCTGCAGATCTAACTGTGCAGGTTGTTCCCTGTGTCAGCCTCGGCTCCCAGGGCAGAACTCCTGTGCCTAAAGGATGCTCACCTGTGCAGGAGCCTGCAGAGCAGCCTGGTCCCCTCCCTCTCTGCTGAGAATTCTGCAGACACTAGGAACCTTTCCCAGGAGCTACGAGACAGCTGGGAGAAGAACAGGCATCCTCAGAAGCGACACCACCGCTCTGCTCTGTTTGCTCTTCTCTACTCCTGCAGAGACTCAGGATGGCCAATCCCACCAGGCTGTGCATTTCTCAGCATGGTCACGATTTCCCTGGAGAACAGCCCCCACCCAGTTTGCCTCTGAGATGGGAGGATTAACCCTGTCCCAGGAAGAGGCACCCACGGCCAGGCTGCTGCCACTTGTCGCTACCAGCGCCTCCTTCCAGCCTGGCTCTGCCGATGCTCAGGCTGCTCTGGGCTCTGCCAGGGCTCTGCTGGGGCTCAGCCCCAGGCACAGCTGGGTCCACTCTCCCCTCACATTGCTCTGACAGCTTTGCATCAGACAAACCTGTTCTGAGCACACCGAGTGATCTTTCTGCTGTTTCAGCTGAGTAAGACTCTCACCCGGGCAAAGAGATTGCAGTCAGGGGTACAAATCCAATCGGCAAGAACCAAACCACTACACAGTCCCAGCTGAATGCCTTATCTCCACAGCATGTTTTGTCTGTCCCACTCTTCATTCCTTTTTGGTTGGAAATGCAATTGCACTTTCTTCCTCATGTAGAAGTACCACAACTGGGCAGAAACTGGCAAGTGGGCCGTATTCAAAAGGCAGTCTGAAGTTGATGAATGAAGAATTGCCCTTCTCCAATTCCAAACCATACCAAAAACCCCATAAACACGACTTTACATCGTTAAGAAAGAACTGACAATTTAAAAGTGAATGTACAGCTTATTCACAGGGTGAGAAGGAAGGGAATCTTCCAACTGAATTTGCTTTACCTTGGAAATGATTGAGGCAGCAAAGCATTTTCTGTCATTACCTCTCTGTCCTTAGCCCCGATTCATCTTAAAAATAAATAAAGGAGCCAGAAAGCAGGAAGAAGACAAATGATGATTTTTTACTCCTTGAGGAACTGGGGTGGTCCTACCACCATGACTGTGACCGTTGGTTTGTTCATCCATCCATCTGTCCCGCAGCATGAGAGCTGAGGTTGTACAGAGTTTGTGTTCTCAGTCCTGCTCTGAGCTGGCAGGGCACAAAGCCGACCTGCAGTGCTAGCGGCTGCTGTTCTTAATCGCTTCCTTCGCTGCAATGATCAGAGGAGTCAGGCTCGAGAGCGGCTTGGCTAATTTTAAAAATGGATGCTGCCCAAAGGAAAAGAAACAAGAAAGGTACCATTACTTTCCAAACTCAGTTCCTCACAGGCTCAACCAGGATTCCACTCGTTACCAGAAATGCTCAGAAATAAGACTGAGGGGACCATCTGCACTTCCACCTTCATGTCCAGGACATTGCTATCACAGGCAAACACGGCCCACACACCTATCAATCCATTTTTCCAGGTGTCTTCAGCTTGCTGGGATTTTTGCCCGGCCAGTGCTCTGGCAATGCTGCTTGCTGCCCCAGAGCTTTGCTCCTTTCAGGAAACTCAGAAGACTCACTTAGGTTCCCCCTTTCTAAAAACACAAACTGTGTTAATTGCCAAAAAAGATATGTGTAAGTCATTCCTTAGGAAACTCCAGTATCTCTGAGAAATTATTAACCCACTAGGATTTAGGCTCATGTGTTTTCTCAAGACCTGTACTGAGGTAGAGGTTTTCAGCAGCAAGTCAGGAGCAGGGAGACAAGTGGCAGAGTGCTGATGGACTCAGCTCTGGCTTGCAGGAAGAGCACTATCTTTCCATCCCCTGGCCCTCCTGTGCTGGCTGGCACCTTCCTTCCCAGCAGGGATAGTCAAGTGGTGTGTTCTGCAGCTATCTCTCTGCCACAAAACCTGGCAGCAAACCCCAAGCAGCTTGTCTGAGCCAGGAAGCAAACAGGGCTGGGAAAAGTCCTGTTCAGCTTTACCCGTTTTGGGTGGCAGAAACCTCTAAAAATGGGCCTTAGTGGCAGAAACCTCTAAGAGAGGAGCAGGAGGGACAAGCTGGGGCCCCCTCTGAGGCTCACAGTGTTCTTCCCACAGCCTCCTCCTTTCCACAGCCAAATCTCTGACAGCTTAGCTGGGACTGCTTTTACTGGGTTCCTCCCCCACCAATACCATTTCAGGCCTCTATACCTAGTATCATTCTACTTCACTTCCTTTGTCAAGAATTAAAACTGAATTTACTCCCAAAAGTACAAAACAGGGCCACAGAAATGACGAGGAGATGGAACATATTTCCTCTGAGGAAAGGCTGAGAGAGCTAGGCTTGTTCAGCCTGGAGAAGGGCAGGTCCTGGGGAAACCTCACCTTGCAACTCTCCAATACTTCAAGGAGGCTTGTAAGAAAGTTGAGGACACATTTTTTAGCAGGGCCTGTTGCAACAGATCAAGAGGGACTGGTTTTTGACCCAAAGATGATCAATTTAGATTCAATCTAATTAAGAAATTGTTTACAAGGAGAGTAGTGAAACACTGGTACAGGCTACCCAGAGATGTTGTAGGTGGAAGTCCATCTCTGGAAACACTCAGGTCTGAAAAGGTCAGGTCAGATAGGGCTCTGAGAGACATGACCTAGTTTAAGAGATCCCAGCTCAGTCAGACTAGATGACCTTTAAAGGTCTCTTCCAACCAAAACCATTACAGGGTTCTGCTTAGTTTTCATCTGAAAGCACCAAGACTGGAGGTTAATACGTGGGGGAGCCAGCTGATGCCTTTATTTGACGAGAAAACTGATCCCTTGGACATCTGTTTCCCCTGCAGCTGCTCCCCACGTTACCTGCAGAAGTTCCTTGGCAGACCCTCGCCTGTCCACATCCATCTCCAGGCAGCAGTTAAGGAAGTCTCGGAACACGGCCGAGAGTCGCTCTGGGTTCTGCAGCTCCGGTGTCCCGTTTGTAGCTATCAGATACAGTGCCTGGAGACAAAGGAGACAGAAGACTGTTTCATTCATACCCAGAAATACTCAAACAGACCCTATTTTTAAGCTCAAATCTCCACTGGAAGTTTCCTCCCTGGCAGAGGGCTGGAGATGACTTTCATAAATCAAGAACAACAAAAACCCCAAAAAAACTCTGATGCAGTCACAGCTATTCCAGCATCAAAATGATCTTGCCTTGACAGCTGATTACATTGGCTGACTTGGTTAGCAGGAACTACATCAGCACATTTTACTTTCCCAAGTACTGACACGGCTTTACAGGCCATTTTAAAGAGTCAGTGTGGTCTAAATACATTATTTCAAAGGATTATTACACAAAATGCATCTGTGCAGTGCTCCCTGGTCTCTAAAGTATGGCTTCCATAAAACAAAATTAATCAAGTTTTTTGCTCTGTTTTTGATAAAAAATGATTACTGGATAAAAAAGAAAAAGAAATCCACCAGCTTATACCTTGTATAAAAAACCAGAAACATTTGCAGTCTCATGTTCAACAGACATGTCAAGTTGCATGTACAAACAGATTATGATGAAAAGGCATAATTGGGCAGACAGGACCCACCTTCAACTATCTTCAGCAGTCTCTAAATTCCAAATCAGCTTCACTTATGTAGTAAAACTTTTAATAGTCTCATCAGAAAATGGAGTAATTCCATCCCTATGGTAACCCTCCACTAAGTTTAATACTCAAGTAAATGCATTAATGACATCCCCATCCCAGAAACTGCCAGGGAGGAAACAGGAGGTTTTGGCAGCTGGACTACTGAAGGCTTAGTGACATGGAGAAAGTGGCTTGGGCTAGGAAAGAAAAATGTTCACTACATATTACTAGAAACCCAACAAATAGTGTGCGCTATCAGCTAAAAAGTTTTGCTGTAAAAAGCAGTCTTGCTTTATAAGCTCTTCTGTTTAGAGACAGCTGAGACCTCTTACACAGATCTCAAGTATATCTGACTGAACTTGGTCAGAAACAGGAAATCTAGTTATCTTTCTAACAGCTCACCTGAGGTTTCTTGAGGAGTCCTAATCAATATTTCAGATTAAGGAAGCAGGGAATTTTCAGCATCCAGATCAATAATGCTAATTCTTTTCACCTGCTTTTACTGCCTTATACAAGGCAACTGTATATTTATTTATATATATTTTTCTATAGAAATATTATAGATATATATGTATTTATTTATACTGTATGTATTTTATTTTTTGCAAGTGAAATATGGGTTCACAAGAAACAGAAGCAAAACTGTGATGTGCAAAGGTCTCTGCTGGTACAACAGGGCTGCAGTGACAGAGGCCTAATGCCACCTTGCCACTACAGTGCACTCTGCTTATTCAGCACCCCTCTGAATCCAACCCTGTTTATTTCTTATCCACCCTAACAAGGTGACACAGTGCACAACACTCCACATGTGTGCCTGGAACCAAAAATCCCAGGCCACCTATCAAATCAAAGCAAGTCTTCCAAGAAAACTCAGGAACCTTTTCCAAAAAGTGTGAAAGACTTGTATAACTGAGTGAATTTTGTATAATTGGTGTATTCTTTTCTTAAGCAGCTGGGAAGTACGTCCTGACCCTTCTGTAATTTCTTCTGTCAGTCTGCAATACACAGTCTGGATGCCACAAATCAGAGAAAGCACAACCTTACAGCATGGAAAAGCTGAAGATCATGCTCTATTTTAATTCTAGCCTTAACAAAACATATGTATGTATGTATAAATATAGGTAAAAATTAATTTTCTCATTAGTTCCCACAGGAATTAACTATGCAGCACTTTGTTTCAGCTGTCAGTCATGAGGTTTCATCCTGGTATACATTCCTCCATGACTACATACTCATTTGGTGTAAGAACTGGCCATTTCATTTGAAGGTATTAGAATAAAACTGAAAACTTCAAAATACACTAGTTTGCTACAAGTATCTGTGCTAAAATATACTTTTAGAAATGTGTTTGATAATAAATAATTGCATTATTAGAACCAGTGATCTTTCCTGGAAGGTTCAGGTGATCAATTAGCACTGGTCTGACAATGAAGAGAGTTTTGTGCCTGCAGGTATAGCTCCAATGCTTATCATAAAAATTCCCCAACTGGAGAAGCATGGCACTTAAAAATTTTTGTCATTTGGAGATACAGCTCAAAGAGAGCTCAAAAAGGGCATGAGAAATTTCAAGCATTGCTGAAGGCTGAAGTGGCAAGTTTCTGCACAGGTACATGTCACTTGGCCTCTGAGGTTCTTACAGTGATGCAATCACAGCTACAGCAGATGCTGATGTGCTGTAGGACCATTTTTAGAAGTGGGCCTTTGTAGAACTCGTTCAAGCTGATGTGAATGGGATTTTATCTCATGGAAGACAAAATATGGCACAAATTAGAAAGACAACAGTATCTGATATTTCACCCTACCCTGAGAGGATTTTCGTTAAGGTAAGGAGGTTCTCCTTCCACCATTTCTATTGCCATGATCCCAAGTGACCAGATGTCCACCTTGGGGCCATATGCTTTTCTTGTTACAACTTCTGGTGCCATCCAGTAAGGAGTCCCCACCATTGTGCTCCGTTTACTCTGCTCAGGGGTGATCTGAGCACAGAAGCCAAAATCAGCTGAGGAGAAAAACAAATACTGTTAAAGCCAGCTTGAATTACAAAACCAAGCAAAAGAACCCCCACTTTAAGTCTGAGAATGCACTGTGGAATCTAGCTGGAAAAGCAGCCATGCTGTGTTTCCTCAGGGCTGTAGACAAGCTAATATGGAACTGGCCACTTAAAGAAACCCTCATGTTTCATCCACTAGCTTTTACTTAATCACTTGAAGCTTTAGACTGTAACTCCCTCCATTTTGCAAGGGCCATACACAAAGCAAAGCCACTCCTGACACCCTGTTTCTCTCTGGACCTCTCTGCACCTTGCAGCCGTGCCCTCACAGCAGGGTGGTCCAGGTGCTCCCACCAGCACCACTTTTAGAGAACTGGCTGTCACTCACAAGGAATCCCCACCCCACATCCAGGAATGCTGCATGTGACCAAGAATACCTACTCAATTTGACAGATCCGTCCATCCCAAGAAGAATATTGTCGCTTTTGATGTCTCTGTGGATCACTTGGTTGGAATGAAGGAAATCCAGGGCTTGCAAGCACTGATAAGAGAAAAAAGAAATGTAAGGGTAAAAATTCATGACATGATTTCATCACATGAGAAAGGAAATGGTTTTATGAGATTTCCTTTCTAGGGGAATAGTGAGGAATGGCAAACACAGTGCAGCCAAGAGAAGAGCTTGCTGCTCCAACACTGTTAGAGTCATGTCTTTCTAGGGGAAGGCACATACTAGCTTTTGAAAGGGAAACATCAATTGCTGCTACAGGCTGTCCCCTGCAAACACAGACAGAATGACTCCTGCTGCAGTGGATCTGTTCTTTCTTCTCCATATAATGACAACACCACAGAAACAGAAGCATCACCATGTCCATGCAAACAGAAGCACAAGTGGGATCCCTCACCTCCCGACAGACAGCAGCAATCTGTCCTTCATCCATACACGTCTCGGTGACAACATCAGTTAAAGAGCCTCCAGCCAAGTACTCCATCACCACCCACAGCTCATCACCAACAAGGTAGCTGAAAGGAGAAAACAATGCTGTGGAGATGAATGTGCATAGCCAAACTAATGAATAATCATAACCTGTAACTGATTCTTGTCTCCAGGTCCCCTGCAAATGAAGACTAAAAAGAATAAAATGAAAAGGACATTCCTTCTAGGCTACACAGCTCTTGGAATATGCATGGTCAAAAAAGGAGATATCTTAGGTGACAGGCAAGTGAAGAATGCACTTCAATAAGATAAGCAAGCAAAGATAAATCTGGAACCAGGACACATGCCACCAGTTGGCTCATCATCTTAACTCATGAATTCCACCATTAACCCCAGGAATGAGGCAACAAAACTTTCAAAGTTATCCATGGGAGGAGGGTGTGCACCACTGAGGACTGAAGTTGGTCAAATGTTTGGAAAACCTTGCAAAACATACATTCAGAAACAGCAAAGGCCATTAAAAAGCTGTCAAATTAGGTGTCTCTGGAAACAAGAACTTAGTCTTCCTGGCATATGGAAATGGAAACACTTGGAACATGGAGCTGACAGACTGCTGTTTTACTAAGATATGGCTGGTCCAGGTTTTTGAAAAGTGACTTCAAACTATGTATGCCAGAAAAGACTAATGCAGAGCCAATACAATCTCCTCCCATCTACTGGAGAGAAGAAAGAATACAGAGCTAGCTCCATGTTCTGCAGTGATCAAAGGGTTTTTTTAACCTTTGGCCTGCAGTGTGTAAATGAACATACATGTGATAATACCAGAACAACTTACCTGTCTAAATAGTTAACAATATTGGGATTCTTATTTTCCCTCATGACCAGGATTTCATTGATAATTAGTTCCTTTTTGGGCTGCTGTTGGAGATTCATTTGCTTTATGGCCACCTAAAATGACATTAAAAACCATTAACTTGAGTAGTCTGTTGCACAAGATCAGAATGAACATGCAGTGGACAGTTACATGATTTTTGATTGTATCACCTGCTATTCTTGATTACATAACAAAGGAAACATAGACATACATTACAGATGTTGTTCCATAAGAAAAATAACAATCCTAGCATTTCCCAATTTATGAAATTTTGATTTGCTCCTCTAAAGAACACTTTTTAACACAGTTTACATTTACAGTTATTGTCAGGGTCTAAAAAGGAATAATCCATGCACTGGTATTTTATGGATATTCCCAGGGCTATAAGGAAGGCTTAGGACTTTCAGACCCCTTGGAGACCCCAATTTCAGTGTGGTTACCAAATGCAGCACGGCAGGTGTGAGGAACTACCAGTAAGATTCAGATCTGAATCTGTTCTCAGAGCCAGAGATGAGAATTCAGGAATCTGAAGCTGGATCCCCAAAGAGCAGTGGGATTCTCTGAGACATGACCTCGTCTGTTTTTCACTAATATGATCACTCTAATGGGCTGTCACTGAGACCAGACCAAAACACAACTGACTTCTTACCAGCTGCAGTAGGACTGAAACACAAAACTGAGTCCAATACATGATTTATCCTTAATTATGTCTTGCATTATACTTTATGACCAAATACATGATGGAAGAAATGGCAAATCATGCAACTCTCTGAACCTGGGATTGAGATAAATTGGGTCTGAATGATGGCAGTTGCTTTCAGCTCGAGGATGCCTTAACAGATTTAGTAATTAAGACTGAGACTGTGTCCTCAGACAGATACGACTGCCCTCCTTTTTTCTGGCAATTCTATGGACAAAGTGTTTCCGAAATCAAGCAATGTAACAGAGCTATTTATTCCTGACAGCAACAGGAGAATCTGTGACCACCTCCAGCATTCTCCCAAGGCCTCTAATCATGACAGATCTTTTACAAGTTGCATTGCTAACCACAGTCTGTGGGCACATGCACAGGCAGATTTAATGGTATAAAGGTACAGAGTTAAATTGTGTATCTAGACCAAAATTCTTTGAAAAGCACAACTTGATATCCAGTGGGGAACAGAGACAGAACAATTTCTAAACCAATACACTTATACTGGCAATAAAAAGTATCTACTTTATGTCGGCACAAAAGCCTGTTGGGATTTCTTAGCATATTTCTCTCCATTAAAAAAAAAAAAAAACATTCAGGGATAATGTAACATGGTACCAGGGTGGGATCAACAGTACTGTGGAGAGCACCAACCTGTTCTGAAGACAGAGCAAGTAAAAAAATTAGTCTCCTAAAATTGGGACTTAAAAACGATGGGTGAAGCATGCAGCCAAGCTGGTACTCCAGAGAGTTCCAAGGCTCTTATTGATTCTAGGAATCCTTTTCAGGCATTTATGAAAACCCCAGATCCAGTGCTGCTGGAAAGCATATGGCCACAGCAAGTGCTCAGTTACTGAGACACAGAACCACACTGCCCTTAAAGACCTTTCACTGAAAAGCTGAAGACAGCAGATGATGGATTTTGCCAGTTGACATTTGTCCATGCTTCAGGAGAACAGCCTTTGCAGGAAAGCTCTACTGGGCACCCAAAGCTCCAGCCACAGCTCACAGCAGAGGGGAAAGCACTGAACAGCTGCAGAATCTGCTGGGATTTTTGACACTTACCTCTTGTCCTGTGGCAATGTCAATCGCTGTATAAACAGTTCCTGAAGCCCTAGAAAGAAAAACAGCAGGAGAAACTGAGAAACACTTTAGTCCCTGGAAGTGAAAGCCAGCCCAGACAGGAGAGCTCTGCTGACTGAAGTGTTTATAAGGGTTCACCCACTCCTCAGCCAACAGCATGGCAGCCCACCAGCCCTCTGCCATGCAGAGAAAACTGAGGTCCAACATGAGGAAGAAGGGCTGGTACAGATGTCCAGTGTACACGTCACATTATTTTAATTCAAAACCTAAGAGAGGGAAGGGTGTCTGCAAAAACTGGAAAATAGTATGTTCAATTCTTAACCATTTTGCTGTGGTGAATTTAGTTTTTCCCCCTTGTGCTTTGTGTGTCTGTGTGTTTTTTCCATGAAATGTAACACAAAATCCAGTTGGGCCTTCTCACACCTTTAAATTGAATCCATCTGCCAAACTCAGGCAATGTCACACAGTCTCTCTGAGAACTCTGAACATATGACAGCCATTTGAGGAAAAGATCTAAATACAGCTTTCTCCAGCATGCAAGTAAACAATTTTCCAGCCATCTTGCAAGGTCACAGCTAGAGCAGGTTAAGGCATCTATTATTTCACACACAAATTGAGGACTCAGAACAGAGGATACTTAGAGAGCTTCTTTGTGTGTCAAGAACTATAGGCAGCTGCTTCTGCTGAGAGCACCTGACATGTGAAGGACTTTTCACGGTGTCCATGTACAGCTTCTGTGACACACATAGGTTGTGTTGTAGAGCCACCAGCAACAAACAGTGTGCTCACCTGCAGACTAGACAGGGTGGGGTTTGGTTTGCCATCTGCCTCAAAGATGTTCTTCCCCACAATGACATGAAGGGCTGAAAAGGACCCAGTCAGAGGCAGTTCCTTTGGGTTTCAAAGCAACTAGGGGCTTGAAAACCCTTCCTTCTGAGCTAAACCACAGCTTTACACTGCCATCACTTAAGCCCATGTCTGAGTGACAGTGAGGAGCAGTGAGGCAGGGAGGGAATTCTCACAAGCAGGAATGTGCATCCTGCAAGTGTCCCAGTGACTGAAAGAGCCAAAATGAGTTTGCTCCTTCTCACATGATCTCCTGGCTTGTTTGTTTACCTGCAGGCTGAAATATTTCAGAAGCAGTTTAATTCAACAGAAAGACCTTATGCCTGCACTGAGCAATATTCTCATTGGGCATGCTATGCATTCTTTTAATGTAAAGACAAATGCATTTTCCTATGACTAACTGACAAGATTAATCTAATTTGTTTTCATAAGAAGTCAACAACATTTATTCAGAATTGCTAACACTGTGATGATTCTCCTGAGTAAAGTCATATCAGGCTTTATTTCAAAACAGCTCCTGGAAGTAGAATGCTTTTGGGAATACTCCAGGCCACCTCCTTGTGAGGAGTTTAGATAAAGGTAATTTAAGTAAAGCAGTGAATTAATTGCAAAGGCTTTGCGATTCTCCATTACAAACTTTTACTTCTAAGTAACTCATTTCTGACCAGTAACTTTTAATCTGTTCTGCAGCCCCTGGTCTTTACTGCAGGTAGGCAAGTGCCAGGACTCACCATTAGATCTGTGTCACTGTGATGCAGAGCAGTACTAACCAGGCTGCTCATGGCTCCACACTAATTTGTCTTGCTACAAGAGCTAACACTGCTTGAGCAAACACAACCTCTTTATCAAGTGCTAGTTAAAACTAAGTTTCCTCTGGTGTCAGCAACATTTTCAGTCCTCAGCAGGAAACAGAGGACAAACAGGTACTCAGTACTGACCTGTTCTGCAGCACAGGCCTGCTGACTGCTATTCATTGCAAAGTGGCTGTAAAACCATCACAGTCTTTATTAACTTCCCAGCTGTATGAAGCCATGAGATGCAAGGTGCTGGCCAGTTGCTTTTCCTCACATAAGCAACTGCTCTCTACGTGCAGTTCTCTGAGCAGCCACACCTCTCCCTGCCTTGCTCTCATTAGCAGCTACTAAAAACCTGCTCACTTCCAACACTTGCCTTTGGCACAGCTGTACCCAACTCACTGCAGAGGTGGCAGCTCAGGAACTGCATCTGCATTAACTGAGCTCATCAGCACCCGTTGAAGCAGTGCCACAGCTCAGCACTGCTGCAGACACCCAAACCCCAGCCACGCAGCACTCTGGGTCCTCCTGATCATCCTGTTTGATTACCTTTCTGATGATTTTTCTCTTTAGGATCTTTTCCTATCACAGTAAGTTGGCCTGCAGCATTAGAGGCATGAACTAGTTATGGCAGCACACTCCTCTCCAAGGAGGCTATGCAATCTTCAGGCTGTACTAAAAGCTGGAGGAAATCCATTTAGATACCCTTTTAGGCCACATACCGGCCACCTGTCTGTCCACCAGTTGTCAAGGCACCTTTGTACAAGCTCACTCCTCGGACTATGGATATAAGAGACTGTGAGGGTGATGGTCACATTCTCACAGTGACAGCAATAATCTGTTTCACACACATGTTTATTCTGCTCTCACTTGCTCAGCTGACACCGCTTTTCTAAGAGACAGGCACAGCTTGAAGTTTCCACTGACATTTTACAAATGACAGTAAGAACCAAAGCTTCGGATAGGAAGCAAGTTAGAATTTGGGAAGGGGTTTTTATACAATGAATGGAGCATAAACACCTTCCTACAAGGGCCCTACCAAATCAGAGAGATCTAAGATAAAACCTGCCAGAGAAAGAGCATGCGTTTCTGCAGTACATTAACTATTCCAGGTTAGCAACAGGTTACTCTGAGCTCAGACCTCACAAACAGAAAGGCAGAAAAATATCTCCTGATGCCAGTAAACAGCTTCTGCCCTACACTGACAGCAGTGTCCTGGTGTCACACAGATGGTGCCAGTCCTCCTGGAACAGCAACACTGCCAAGGAAACGCCAATGGTGAAGGCAGTCCATATTTAAAATGCAAGTCAGATACCTAATTTTGAGGTAAGTTCTTTTGTTCTTGCCCTCCTCACATAGGAAATATTTCAAATTGATCCAATTTACAGTTAGCAAAGCTGGGTTTCAAAAGAGAATGGCTTGGGTGATTATTTTCAATAAATGCCTAGAACCCACAGGATCCACAAGGAATCTGCCATGAGGCAGATGATATATTTTCCTCTGAAGTGCATTAGCACTGTGTCTGTTACTGAATTTTTGGTTTTTACAGCCCCTGCTAGAAAAAAGAGATTATTATTTCATCTCTGGTTTCAATTTCTAAACTATGTGGTTATAAGCCTGACCACTGACTATTGTTTAAAGCAAGTATTTGAAATAAACATTACTGAGAGCCATCAGCTAGAGCTATCAGGTGGTAAGTTACTGTTTTAGGTAATAATGTTTTTTCTCCTTTCTTCAGCATGGTCATATTATTTTGAGACATACAAAAATGATTTCTCCTAAGAAAATAAGCAAACAAGAACCACACACTTGAGGAAAAAGAGATCTTTCAGGCCCTTCTCCTTGCTGCAGATGAGATTCTGTCAGCATCAAGCTGTCTTTCAATTACTTTTGACCACAGTTATAAATTCCGATCAGTACTGAGACAGGAGGATCTAAACCTGATCATATCTGAACATGTTTGGAGCTTGCCTATCTTCATGCTTGATGCTCCCCCAGCAAAATACCTGGCCCATGGCTTTGCACAAGTAACTGGGATATGACTTACCCCTGGCCAATTTTTTCAAATCGAGTGTATTTCTTCTTAGGATCTCCCACACTCACAATGCTCCCTGAAAGAAACAAAATGCAAGATTCTCACTTCAAAACAGAGATTCCACCTTCCAGCAGATCCGACATGCAGCCCCAGTGTCTGGGGCTTTGAGCCATTTGTGGGCAGCTGGGTAGCAACAACAGACACAGCTCCACAGCACAGATGGCCTCCATAAACACTGGTTTGCTACAGTCCTTTAAGGTTACCCTGACAAGAAACTAAACACAAGGAGAAACATTCAGAACAGACAAAGATCAGAAATCAAGAGGCACCAATAGAAGCGTTTGTCTCCTATAAACATTAAGGAGAGCTGGAACAACAGTGCCTTCATTTTCTTGGGAATAAACACACTGTGATTCAACAAAAAGTTTACTACTTCTGAAGATTAAATGTACCTTGTGTTCACTTTTTTATGAACAGGTACCACTTTTGGAACAGGAAGAGTATTCCAAGTGCTTCCAGGAGAGGAGATCACCTCAACCTTTCAGCAGTTTGCCAAAAGAATGCCTTAATGTTTGCAGTGAACAGCATCTCATTTCACCATCAAGAATGATGGGGTTTCAGAACCAGGGCCCCCATCACTGGTTTCCAGGCTAAGTTCTGAAGACAGCCCTGCCCTGCACCATTTCAAGAACCACACTGCTGGTTTTCAATGTGACGCAGCCCTGTCACTCACACTGGACTCGCCCTCTCACCACCACACACACACTGTCCTCATGTTCTCCTAAAACAGCAGGATGGGTAACAAGGACAGCAGCGCTCCTGGGGCACTGGTGTGACACAGACAGCTGCCCAAAGGGATGCTGATCCTGAGCCCAGCTGATATGATGCAGAAGACAGACCAAACAAGGGGCTGCTGCCTCCCGGAAGCTCCATGCTGCAGCAGTGGGATGGTCAAGCTCCACAGTGTGATCATGAGGTTTATACCTTCTCATCTCCTATCCCTCCTTCTAGTCAGCTAGAAGGGAGTCCCAGAGTCCTCTAGTCATGCTCCTCTCTACTGAAGAGTAATTTTGTAGTGAAGACCTGCTCTAGAGAAGCAGAATGAGCTTTGTTTTATGCCACGTGTTTCAGCAAGATGAAACTATGAAAAGTTAACCAGGTTCTGAAGGTTCCTCAGCTTGGGCTCCCAACACTCCAGTCCACCTGACTCCTGCAGATTGGCACAGCAGGGCATGACCACTTCAGGGCACTTGAGACTGTGTGGGCATCCCAGCCAGTAGGCAGGCTCACCCTGCCATCAGCCCTGGCTGGCATTCCCAGAGCACCAGGCAAGGGGAGTGAGCATGTGGGGCAAAGGAAACCTCTTCTCCTGCAGCTCCCATTAACACTCTTGCCAAGGGCTGCAAAATTCCTTTAGCAGGGAGTGTACCAGATGGTGCTGATGCCCTGTCTTCTCGCTGTGCTGGCAGGCAGGATTCCTGGCTAGGCATCCAGTCAGATGCCCATTTGGATGCTAAAGACCTCTCTGTTCTACACAAATGGCTTGGACAGGGGGAAGAGGAGTTTGTGACTACTAAGAGGGAACGGTGCATCATCTAGTTTTGTTTTGGATGCACAGGTAAACAAATATGTGTTTGTATTTGTAATACAGGGATACAGCCAGATCAGTCAAAGGAAATACGCTGCAGATCACTGATATCTTTCCTTCTGAACTCATCTTCTTAAACTATTTCTGTGATGTACATTCCAAGGTAAGTCCTTAGAAGACATTTGCACTGAACCACCACCTTAGACTTCATTGTTTGCATTCTGTCAAGGAAACTACCAGACCAGAAAAACCAGTACTGTTTATTTAATTAAGTCTTACAATTTGTTTGAGTCTATCAGATTTTGGCTCTTTCATTAGACACAAAATATCCTAATTACTGCTTTTTTTCCTTCCCATCAGATTCCTAGCGTCTCCAAATGGGCAAGAAGGTGTCAAGCAGGGCAAGGTTTAACTTCAGCTGTCAGTGGCCTCAAGTCCTCAATGGGTGATGGGGCCAGACTGGGCCCCATGGGACTGTCTCACACCCTGTGGCTCACAACCCCATAAGTTCTGCAGCAGTAAATCAAATACTGCTCTAATTCTGCACTGGGCAGAATAACAGGAAAAACACTGTGCTGCCAGTACCTGGCTAGGTGCTATTTTCATTCAGCAAGTTAATGAAATGGTGTATCTACTAGAACAGCTATCAGAAGTTCACGGAAGTTCATTCACTTCAGAAAATACAGAGAAGGATTGAAGAAGAAAGATTTTTAAAAATTATTTTCCAAATTTGCCACTAATTTTGAAGTTCATATTTCCAGAGTTTTTCCTCAAGACTTGAGTAGCTGCTTTTCCAAGGCAGCTGTTTGTGGCTGGCTCCCTGTACTTAAGCCAATGTACATCAAACATTACAGCATTAAAATCAACAAAATGACAGGTACACAGCTCCTACTCAGACAAGCACTTCCTGCTCTGGACAAAAGATAAACCTATCAGCTATTTTGATGTCTTTAAGCACTTTCCTTTATCAAGTTCTAAATTAAGTGGATAAGAAAGCTGAATTGGGCCAGCTCTGTTTTACAGTTATCAGAGGAACATAGTCATGATTTCATTATAGACAGAATTTTATTTGATCTTATCTCAATATTACAGTCTTTACTCACTAATAAAACTCTAAAAGCTCTAAAAGAACTCAAGCCATTTCAAGCAGAAAATAATTTTGAAAGCAATTTTAGATAAAAGAGGGCAGGGGACATCTTCCTAAAAGTAGCATAGAAAGAGTTGTGAGGGAAGTAGGCAAGGTGGAGCAGTCATGCGAGTTAAAAAAGAACAAGCACCACACTGCTTAAATATAATTAGTTCAAGACTGTAATAAAAAAGCATCATGTCTGTTTTCAGATAGCTTCATGAAAGCACAAAAATATTTTCACTGCCCACATCACAATTTGCCCAAGGCAGACATTCAGACCTTGCTCACTTGGTAGCAAATTGTTAAGAAAGAAAAAGCATGAAAGCATGTAACATTTCAAAGATACAACTCTCCAAACTCCAGGGCTCAGTCCCAAGCTGGCATATACAGCAGCTTGAATAAATGATAGACATACTTGAGCTCATGGATGCAGATGTACCTGTAGATCTCGTGGGGGAAGCCTGCCTCAAACATTCAGCATCAGTTAAAGAAGCAGAATTGCTCTCTATAAGCTGACATACCTGCAGGTAACCACCTGCTCTTGAATTTATTTCACTGTGCCCTCAGCTAAAGCTATTGAATTTATCCCTTGGATACTCCCTAATGTCACTGAGATTCATGTCAACCTGGTAAGGATGCAGGAAACTACACACAAGCAGCTGAAATCTCACAGCTAAGGAAGGCTTCAGCCTGTGCATTCACAGCAGCCATCGGTGGCAGGGCAAGTATGACAAGAAGGCTGAGCAGTGGCAACCACTGCGAAAAAGCCACAGCCACACAGCACTCTGTTACAAGCAGTTGCCTCCATTAAAGACACATTATTGCCTTTGTGATCTGACAGAAGGAGGTGTAGATCAATCTGCTTTTTTTACTAACAATTAATGGTACACAGAATAACCTGGGCTCTGATCTGAACCCAACCATTTAATCTGAGAACACTGCACTGGCAACTATCACATGCAAGAAGCAAATTAAATTGGTTGCACTGCAGAATCAGGAAGGGCTCGTTGTGCTTCAGTAGAGTATGATGTGCACAGGGGTTGGAGCCAACAGTCAGGATTCTAATAGCATTAACTGGCTAGGAATTAGCCATGAGAAAGTGCCTTGTTGTCTGAGGAATATATAGCAGATGCTCCTTCCAAAAGAGAGCTCACTGACAAAGCTGTAAAATTCTTAAAAACTAACTGCAGAAGTAGGAGAAGCAATAACAGTTATGGAAAGGACAGCAAGAGAATACCTGGAAGATGTGTCTTAAGGAGAGCTCACTGAGGCTGAAGGAACCAGCTTAGTGCTGCAGTTGTCTACTGGTAAAAAAACCCTTACCAATAAAAAACGTCCCACACACAAAAACCCAAAAGATTTTGGAAAGTATTTTGACTCCAGTGAACCATGAGAAGTTATGAGTCTAGAGAGAATTTAGGAACCCAAACATTCTGTTTCATTTGGCCATTAATACACAGGAGTTCCCTACGTCATTCACTGGGTCACAGCCTTTTGCTCAACCAGAAACAATCTCTGCTCTTGCCTTAAGCACAGAAGGAAGCTCAGGCAAGCCCAACCCAGCCCCAGCTGCCCTCAGAGGCAGCAGGAACACCCCAAGTGTTCTCTTGCTGCCTTGAAGCACAACAGTTTCTGTAGGGAGTTGTAAATGACTCTGTGACACTCAACCGTGAGAAACATTTGGTACAGCTAATGCTGACACATGCAGGAAATACACTGCTCTAGCAGACTCCAAATACTCAATACATACTCAGTTTCTCTAGGATCTCCTCATCTGTCATCTTGGATTTTTTTCGCTGCCGGTCTGTGTTTCTGTACAGGGTGTTTGTGTTTGAGTTTTCAGGCTGGGGAGTGGTGGCTTCTTTAGCTGGTGCTGGTGCAGCGGCAGGTTCAATAACAGAGCGTGTGTAGATCTGTGACAAGAAATTATTTTGTGTCAGAAAGCTGGCTGGCAGAGATCCCCCTGAGATCATATTTCAAGTACAAACCCTTAGGAAGATCGTGTCAGCCACATCCAGGACTCTAAAACTGGTTTTGCTGTCCACTTCTCAAACTGAACAAGCAAAAATGAAAGGTTACAAGTTCATGGCCAGTTTCATGTTCAATTTTCATGGATTTGCTGATATAGTCCATGGAGAGGGGCCGGTACCTCCAGAGGACAGTGTGTCCTATGTATCTTGCCAGGATATAAACTGCATCTTTGGACTGCTATTGCTGCTGACAGGGGGCCTGCACAGCTGGACAAAGTGGCTCACTTTCACACCTGTAGCATTAAAGGACACGACGGTACCTCTTACCTGACAGAAGAAAGCCATGGCCCTCACCAGAATCCCAGGAAACTAACACGTGAATGTAAAAGTTCAAACCAAATTTTCCCAGTGTCAGTGGCTGGAGTGAAGCTCTGTGTCATGACAGGACTTCCACCAAAGCACCTTGAGCCCCTTCAGCACGGTCTGATCATAAACTTGCAGCTCTGCACTGCACCAAACACTGACCTAACCAAAGCTGGCACTTACTGATTTTGTGTGTTCAGGCCGTGGGGCAATAACAGGCGGAGGTTCATTGTCATCTTCCTCCTCTTCATCATCTTCATCCTCTTCTTCAGACACAGAGGGGGCCAGAGGAGGTTCTGATGCTGTTTTTGTGCTCTGTGGACAGACAGTACTGTGAGTGACAGTCGCTATCGTGGCACTTTGAAGCTTTGACAGCTACCTACACCCTCAGTCTGCCTAGACATCAGAGGCCAATCCAGACATGCACACTCTCCTAGGGGCCTAAGTTCTAAGTTAAACTCAGCACAACACTTAAAGGTATAGATGCATTGAATTCCACCACTCCCAGCTAGCTGGTCAGAGGCAGGGGGTTATATCAAATCATCCCAAATTTGCTGGTGAAACAAAAAAAAAAGAAAATGCACCTTCTGAAGTTTTTACCAATTGCTTTAAAGGTGGCTACACCAGGCTACTTGGAGAACTGATGCAAATCAAAGGCACCACTCAACATATTCACATCTGACTGTCACTCTCTTTAAAATGCCATCCCTTTGGTCCAGTAGAAATACCAGTAGGAGAAGCCCACAGCAAAGAGGGAGACCTGAATCAGTAATTTTGGAAAGCTGTCATGCTGACTGTCTCACTACTGCCTCTGTCTGCTAGACGAAAACACTACAGCATCTGCCAAGGTGGCCATATCCACTGGAAAAGCTACTGGGAAGGCTTCCTCTGCTCTAGTGAACACCACACTTCCTCTGAGAAGTGTGTTTTATTAAAGATAAGGAAAGTGACATTGACTGAAAATCTGAAGTGTGAATATTCAAAGATGATTTTAATTTCATTATACACAGTTGGCTGTGTAATCACAAACCTCACATGAAGCTGCTTAACACTTTAAAATAAAAGCCAAATTCCCATTCAGTCACTTGCTATTTAATTCACTAACAATAACCCTAATAAATTTGGTCAGTATTAATGTGTATGTCACTCCCACATCTCTGGGATTGCTATTGCAATCCAGCATTAATTAGAGTGGATGGTTATTTAAAACTTTCTTACAATGGTTCTAGTGAGTTACATATCAATCATAACCTTATTCATATTCAGTTATACATCCAGCTGTACTAAGGAGAAATCATGAAACTCGACAGAAATGGCATTCTAAATTTTTAAAACTAAATTAAAATGGACTCATTAGGTGCTGCTGCATATTGTTGTGAATGATACACACCATGGCTAAACCAGCCAGCAGCCTTCTGTCTGCTAAACCAGACTTTCACCTATTTAAAAAGAACTCAAATGGAAAATCATAAATCAGCAAGGCAAAGCTCATGGCTTGCTCCACAATTCTTAAACATTAAGAATATCAAAGGTTACTTTTCCACTCACCGAGGGATGGGCTTCTATGTATCCATGGGCGCTTTTATCTGCAATGAGCAAAGGATAATGAATGAGATGCTGTTGGAAAAAATCCCTGCCTGTTTTGGGGAACCCCCCAGAACAAGTCAACCCAAATACAGATCGTTTTTCTTCCACGCCATCCCTTCAGGAGCAACAGCAAGGAAGAGAACAGGACAAAATTCCAGACTGTGTCTATTTTTTGGCCTGTTTGCCAGTAAATAAAGTAAATAGAAATCTGGTGAAGAAAATGCAAATTGTTCTTTAACTGTCAATGCTTCTGTTCCACCCAGGAAGCAGCTTTTCTCCTTTTCATACTGTTTTTGGGGTTTTTTTTTTCCAATTAATTGCATGCATTCATTCTCATTAGCTTGCTGACAACATTTCCAGAGAAAAGCTTCCTCAAAACCCCCCTTAGCCAGGGCAGCTCTATTCTGACAAAGCATGAGTACAGTTCCTGGGTTCAGGAGCACACATGTAGTGTTATTAAGTCTGCATTTCATCACAAAGGGAATTGTTATTTTAGCACACAGTAAGCATCAAATTAGTCAAATCCTTTAATTATGGAATTTGGAAAAAAAAAGATGTTTTCTCTCAATTCTGGAAATAAGTGCACAGGTTTTAGAAAGACTTCTAAGAAGCTTCTGCATTTTGGAAGTTGTCTTGGTTGAACCTTCAAACTGAGGAAATGACAGACTCCACTGCCACAGACCATCCTGTGCAGGAAATGGAACCCCAGCAGGTGACACTCCAAATGCTGTCTGCACCCTGTAGGCTACTGACACCCCCTTTTTCAGCTGAATCTGTCGACAGGCACTCTACTAAACTAATGCTATCTTAATGGCACTTTTGTTTCAAAATCTTGGTTAGTTCTAAAAATCTGCAACAAAGCAAGGCCACCATTTAATGACATTTTGGGGGGTGGGGGGGGTGGAAGGAGAAATGGATTTAATTTCTGGAGTATTCCACAATGTAGAATTGGCTCAGGCTGCCTCCTGACAACCTGAATCCTGAACTTTCCTCTGACTCATTTTGGAGTCTGACCTCCCCTGTTGGGAGACATCAACTTACCTCCTGACGTAAAGCTCATGTATTTCTGGTTGTTAACCGTTTCTTTCGAATCATAAAATTTGAGAACATCTAGAACAGCCTGTGGGTTCTTCTTCTGCTCCAGTTTTGTTATGTTGGAGGTCTGTAGTAGCCTGGCCCACTGTTCTGGAATGCCCTGTAGACATCGAGTGGAAACAAAGTGGGTTTAGAGTATTTAAAATCTGCAGCCTCACAGATCTTTACCAAGATCCCATGCTTGCTGTAAGATTACTTGCAGAAATTTTGATTGACACCTTACAATTAAAATTAGATGCAATCATTTTCTTCTCTATCAAAAATCTAGCTAAAACCAGGACCCAACTTTATAAAAATAAAGTAATGACTGTGAGAGGAAAAAAAGGGGATGAAACTTCTCTGGAAATCAACTCTGCTCTTCCATGGAATAATGATTTAAGGCTTAAGCTTGTTTGCCTGGTAATTCAGGGCAGACATAACAAGACTATTCTCTGTTGGTGCACAACACAGTGTTTTTTAGGAGCTTTACACCGGAATTTTCATGCTTAGGAATGCAAACACATTTTGCTGAAATGACCACTGCTGTCTGATTCAAAGATAAACCCACCCTGATACAGCTAATTTTCAGTATACCAGGGAACACTGCAGGGTAAAGAATCTGCCTTTCAGCTCTCAAAATCATGACCCTGAGGTATACCACAGCTGCAAAGGATGTCTCTAGATTCTCTACTGCAAACGTACAGAAACCAGGGATTCATAAAACAGGCTGAGAGTTCATCCAAAGCTCTGGATGAATTCTTGGACATCTTATGGGTGAGGTGGAATTTGAAAATCGATCCAATCACTAAAAGCCCCAGCTCTACACTGAAATTCTATTGATGAGAACTGGCTTCAGTTATCCAGGATAATTCCAGCATGTCATTCCCCCTTTTACTGCACAGCTGACATTGACCAGGAGATTGTAGGGCTCACAGGAGGAAAAACATGCCACCCCAATCCACTTCCAACAGCTTCTTCTCAGAAATTGTCCACAAAACACTGTGTGACATGGGCCTCCAAAGTTTAGGATTGATGAAAAAAGTGGGAAAAGCCAAGCAACAAATCTACTGCACACACATCAACCTGCTGCTGCAGTGCTATGACATCTCAAAGAAGCATTTGGGGCCTGTGACGCACCTCTGGGAGCTTCCCTGGGCACATCTGTGAGCCATAGAGATCTGGCTGTAATGGACGTAAATAAAGAAAGAAAAGAAAGTTAAAACAGAATGTGGGAAAACTTAGAAGGTGGTAGGAGGAGGAAACCAATGGGCCAGAATGGGCAAGTCCCATCTAAAATGGGAGTTATGAAGCAGATACCAAATAGATCAGGTGATAGACAGGCTACAGGAAGGCAGATTTAGGAAAACAGAAAAATCACAACCGTTCCAAAGTTTGGAAGCATCATTCCCCCTCCTCTCGCTTTTAAACAGTTTTTGTCTCCTCATAAAAATACATTCTTGAGAATTAATGGCAATTGACTAGAAAAATTACATGTGATTTCCCTTGTCAATTTAAAACCAAACCAAAAAAAAAAAAAAAAAAGAGAAGGATCTGAGCCTTTGCTGTTTGACCAGTTTTGAAGCCAGGTGACCATTTTTGAACGGCTCTATAAGTTTTTTCCCAGCTTGGGCGTTCTCCAGCCCTGTGAATCACCATTTGACCAGTGAAGAGAGCAGATGGTCAAAGTCAGATTGTGAAATCTGGGAGGCTGTGCATTGCCACAACACAAACAATCTGTGTGTGTCAGACTGAAAATCAAGACAATTGTAAAGAAATGCTTGATTAGATTAGGAACGTGTAACTTCTTTGGATCTATAGCCACAACTTTTCCCACTTACTTATGTCATAATCTAGAAGCTTTAAAAGTTTGGTGGGTAACCACATTTTCTTCTAGGCTGGGGATGAGGAAATGGTTTCAAACATGCATGCTTTACAAAAAACACGCCTCAAAGACCTGCTAACCACGCTGTCCTTCATTCAGGAAATGCAATTCCTTTTTCAAATAAAGGAACGTAAAGCTCTAGCAACATGCTCCCAAGTTCCAACCAATTTTATTCTCTGCTTTAAAAGCCCTATTTCTTAGCAAATATGGTTGCTCCAAGCACAGTGAAATGGAGATGTAATATTTTTTCACAATGGACAACACAGGTTGATGCTCAAGCTTGAAAGCCAGAACTCAGGAGCCCATGCAACTGTGCATTAGGATGCATCTAACATCAATCAGGGGATGCAGGTGGGGGTGATGGTTTGGTGTCAGAAAATGGCCCAATGCATTGCATATAACCAGGAGAGCAGGCACTACTGGCATGACAGCTGCAATAATTCAAAACAAAAAACCCACGTATGTTTGCACATTGATTGGATGCCCCCATGGCACTTCCAAACTTTTGAAAGAGGCAGACAGAGTGATCACTAGACAGTGGGAATATCAGAACATGGTAGGGGGAGTGGCAGTCCCTTTGCAGGATGTACTTACCACATGACTGATACACAGGTTCTACCCAGGTTGGGACAAATCAAACATGCCTAATGTACTGTGTAACGTAGTGCCTGCATCTGGGATTAGCTGGGACCAATATCTAGTTCTTAATGGTGCGAGAATTCCCTTCCTTTGATTGATGTTGGACTCCACTGAGGACTACAGGATTAAGCTCTGTGCTGGCAAGCTGTGCATGGGAAGTCACCTGTCCCTTTGGTTAATTTTGAATTGGTTATAGCTTTCTCAGACGGCAGCACTGCACTTCCACACTTCAGGAACGAGTTTTGCAAACAAAATTGCAAACCAGCAGACATCTCACATCCACTGTTTGGAAAGGTATTTAAAAAGAAACTGTGCTACAGCAACAAAGCTGGACCTATTTAGCCATGTAGAATTGATTTGCTTTGCGCTGGTGGCATCTGACAGTGAGAAAACCCAAAATGTCTCCGATGCTAGAGAATGTGATGAAACACTGGTAGATAATATCAACATTCAAAATGATCCAAACCTTGATCCCTGAAATACAGATAGTGAGTGCTTGTGCTTAAAACTCAAGTGTGTTAAGCCTGATGTCTCTCCTTTCTGTTCCAGCTGGCAGGGACACGAACTGACCAGGACCCTGACCACCAGTCAGATTATGAGAGAAAATGAGTGTGACGCATTGTGTTTGCCTGGAGTCAGAAGGAAAAAGTCTCAAACAGAGGACAGAAATAAAGGTAGAAGGCTGAAAGGAAGAACAGGTGTGGAGTAAGAGCAGCTGAACATCCAGTGGGAAGAAAAATAAAAGTGGGAAGGTGAAGATGGACAAGATGAAGTGATGCAAACACAAAAAGGAGAGTAACAAAAAGCATAAAGTAACATAATATGACATGAAGATAAGAACAATGGCATTGAAGATTAACCTGAACAATAAAGTGGCTACAGGGAAAGAGGAAAAAAAATGAAAAATCAGGACAGACAGCAGGGAAAACACAATTTAAAAAGCTTTATGCAAAGCTTCTGATCAAAAATGACCACATCTGGGCTTTTTAAACATGCATTTAGTCAAGGCCTAGGGTTTGGCACAGAATAAAATCTGAAGTAAGATTTTATTACATCTATTTAAAAAATCCTAATTAACTAGTCCACTTATTTTAAATGTAGCTGTATTTTCTAATTACTAAGGATAATTCAATTTCACTACTCCTTTGAAGACATTCTGTAATTAAATGTGTCTTTTTTCATCTACTGTTACTCCTATTGTTGCAACTGCTACTGTAGGACACAGAAAGTCTCCAGCTTTCTGAAACGTCTTTGTGAAACAAAAGTAGAAAATGATGAATAAATCACATTTAGGGCCCAAATTCTGAAAATTAGCCATCCTTTGTCCAGGCAAATGATTTGTCCCATCCTATTTGGTGTATGCAGCCAGTCAGCACCAGCACAGTCCACAGTGGTGATTACTCAGTCTGACCACTCAGTTCATGGGGCACTACTGGTGGCAGCAGAGTTGCTAATGCTCCCTCTCACCTCCACAGCTTAACAAAAGGTAAGCTCACTGCCATCTCAGCTTCAAGGAACAATGGTTTCAGTACCCTACTAGTAATCAGAGAAAAAATGCTCTGAAGCCCCCTGCACTTCAAAGAGCTTCCGTGAGATTCATTTTTCCCAACATTTTGTTGATATTCAAAAGCTGACAGCTACTTTATTAATACATAAAGGCTAGAAACACTGATCACCCAGTGTATAAACATATTTTGAAGGATACTAAATTAGAATGGACTTCCACAGTGCTGCAGCTTTCTGAGTGTTTCCAAGGGTTACCTGCACAGCAGTTGGACTTTGCAATTAAGGCTGGTTGTCTACTATACATGGGGGGGGAGCTTTTTATGCTTTCCCAAAGACACTGAATAACCAACCCTTGTAGCAGCTTGGGGGACTGGTAAAAGCATACACCTACATTCTTCCTAGTTTTCATTTCCCACAGACATTCTGCTGACAATCCTTGGAGAAAAAAAAAAAAAAAAAGGAAAAAAAAAAAAAAAGGCAGCCTGAATCACAAGTTAAACACTCCAAATCCTAAGCCAAACAAATAAAGTCTCTTTCTTCACAGCCTGTCTGCTGTGATCTGATGTTTCTGGCAATAGGAGGTTATTTTACCATCAAGAAACTAGAAGTTCTGGTAAGCACAAAATACAGCAGTTACTTACTGTGAATTCTCCAGTGACGGCATCAAATCCCACATGAATGGTGTGTTCAAAGTCTGAAGGAAGAGAGATCTCAGGACGTTCCTTCTCTTTCTTCTTGTTGGCTGGAGGCAAAATGTAACAAGCACTTATTTTCTGAACAGCTTTTCATTTAAAACTTTTAACAATCAGGTGTGCTCAAAATAGTGTTTTAAAAGTGGAAAACAAATCAATTAACATCCATCCAACCTGAGAAACAGACCCAGGTTAACACAATGCCAGCCTGTCAACCTCTGTTAGGGAAGGTCTACAAGGTGCTATTTTATTTTGTTTTTCTTTCCACCAACGTGACTGCTTCCAAAGAAAGCTATTAATGAAGTAGTCTTCTTAGGCTATCTCTAAACAGGTATGATTTCTATTTTCAGTTATTTTTCTCATTGAGTTTTCATATGTAGAAACTGACTCCTATTTGACTTTGTGGGTTCCTGCAGACAGCACACACCATGTGTGTCTGCTCTCCAACATGTGTGTATGTGTGTCTGCTCTCCAACCTGGTTTGAGTCCATTTCAAAATCAGCCAAATCAGGCTTTTGTAGATAACCATTTTTTCCCTACAGGTTCTGTGAAAACCAGCAGCTCATGCAGTGACTCCTCTTCCAGCTAAAAGGCTGAAACAGCAGCTCTGTTTCAGGAAAGACAGAATCTGCCCAGCAACAGAATCCCATAAAGGTCTTTGGAAAAGCTTTGAGTTCTCAATTAACTAAGACATATGATCATAAAATGCAGGCTTTATTAGTCTCCAGATTTTTTTTGTTTTTAAATCACTCCGCCAGTATTTCCAGAGTGTGGAGTATCTTACTTAAGCAAGAAGACTTGAAATTCAGTCAACCTCCATTTGCTTCTCATCTCCCTCCACAACCTTTTGAAAGTAACATTCCCTGTGGTCATCCATCTCCTGCACTTCTGACTACTGACAAATGTCACTTCAGCCCAGTTTTACTGAACCTGATAAAGAATGAGGGAATAAAGGCTGAGGGAAGCTGCCTTCACTTTCCTGCAGTGTTTTAATATTATGTTTGCCAGCTCCATAGTTCATCTAGGGGTCTCATCCAAGGCTGGACTCACAATGTACCAGCAGCCCTCCCAGTCCAAGTTTGTCTTTGCTCAGACAGTAGCTCCATGAGGTCTCTATTTGCGTATTTCTTATTCTACCTTACAGCCTCCTTTAAGAGAAAGATGCTCTGCTCTTTGTACTTACAGTCTATTTGGAATGCTTCTAATCCTTTCTCTGCATTGCTGCATTTATCCTCATTAAATAGTTGTCACCTTTTGTCTGTGCTGCACACCATTACACACTGTTCACTGATTAAATATTTTCAAGATGGCAGCAATATATAAAATACAAATGTAAAGGCTTTCCCCTTCTTTTATCACAAAGATGATGTTGTTTAATTTTCAGGACATTGTTCACTGATTAAATATTTTCATTTAGCATTCAGTAAAGATGGCAGCAATATATAAAATACAAATGTAAAGGCTTTCCCCTTCTTTTATCACAAAGATGATGTTGTTTAATTTTCAGGACAGACGTTGCCAGTTAGAACATGTCACCTGTGTGTAGATAACACTACTGGCTTCTTCTACCTCATCATTTGCAAGCTAATGCAGCAAAAATTGCATTTAAGGACTATCAAATTCAGTTCAAAGCAGCAGTCAAATCTAGAAGCGAAATAAAGGATTATATAAAAATGTTCCACCAAAAGCAGCACTTGTCCATTTTAGGATTCTCCTGCTGGAGGACAAGTGATCCAGCTCATTCCCCAAGATCTGGCTCGTTTGCTTCATGGATCTGTGATATAACACCTATTGTCCAAATGCTGATACACTATAAATTAATTACGGAATTAAACATCTCTTTACTACATCCTCACCTCTTCCCAGTGCAAAAACACCAATGTTTCTTTCTGGGCTCTGCAAATCATATAATTTCTACTTCACAGAAGCTGCCAAAATGATATGAAAAGACATGACTTCTTTGAAGCACCTGACTGACTGGATGCAAGGTGTTTGTACTGAACATTCCTATTTGATTTTCTTGTAAATGCCCTTCACAATACACTCCTGCTGCACAAAGTTAGCCATGAGATAGGGCCTCCACACCACCTCAGGATAAAACAGAACAAGGAAAGATTGTTCTGTTTTCCACAGTCTGCATCACCATCATCACCAATATGTTAAAAGAGCAGTTGTTTGGGAGAAAAATGTGACTCAGCTAAGTAGCAGCTTTTCTCAGAGAAAGAGGAAGGGTTTGACCTCATGCTTATGCCTTTCTGTTTGCTCACCTACTCTTCAACTCACTTTGCTCCTTCCTCCATTCCCTCTTCCTTCCACTGCCTCTCACACCTGTCCTCCCATCCTCCTTCCTAATCTGCTCCTCCTGTAGCCTTGTCCTTTTTACTTCCTCCATTGATCTTTACTCTGCCGAGTTTTTCTCCTTCCCTCTTTTCTGGTTTTTCTGTACAGGAGGTGACCAAATGCCTAAAGGCCAGACTCTGCTCCCCTCTGCAGCCAAGTCTAAAGCAGCTTCAATGGAAGTGGCATCATTCACCCAGGAACCCAACATGGCTGGACATCTGAAAGGGGCATCTGAGCTGTGCAGGTCAGCCTCCTCCTGACTTCTTTAGGCTGAACGCTCTACAGGGCCCTCATGGAGCCTCCAGTGTGCACACAGAGTGAATTTATTTCACAGCAATCACAGGAGGTTTAATGAAAGAACAAGCCTGTAGCAAACAGGACCAAGTAATTTCTGCTGAGGTAACACCTCTGCTGAATGAAGCACTGCTGCTGTGACTCCACTGAGGCTCCCACCACCATGATGATCTCTGAGGCAGGAAGGCCAATTTCACAGCTCCAGCAGAACAAGTTCAGCTTCTTATTCCACACAAATTGCCTGCATGACAATGGAAACTTATTTCAGTTGTCTGCCTTGGCTTCCTGTCCTCAGGAACTGGGGTACCTTAGCCCAGAGACGGGAGTGAGAGGAGCTATACAAGGAACATGAGGAGGTCAGCTGTTATGGGAAGGGGCAGGACACTACTGCCTAAATGGTTTATTTCAACTGCAGATCCACAGAAGGGCTCCACTGAGCCATCAGTGGCTTGCCAAAACAAGGTTTTAAACGTAAGTGCTCAAACTCTAAATTAAAATGCTGCACTCCAGCAGGAGAGGAGGGACTGTAAAGTTTCCTGGTGCCCAGGCACAGTAGTCCTGACACACACCACAGCCTTGGAGAGAACACACTGCACCATATCCATCCTCACATCCCTCCTGTCTGGTGAGCAAATGAGCAAATGAAAGGTAACAAAGTTCCTGCAGGTTCAGGTAGAAATACCCTGCCATGGTGTTTTCTTTACACTCCAGTGACTTGCACCAGTGATGAACTATGGATTTAACATAGTGATGCTGGCAAAGCACTGTACTAGATGAGAGCAGACGTATCAATCACCTTCTGTTTTATAAGCAGGATTCTCAAAAATGTGTCACACAGTCTATGAAGCACACACAGGCCAGCTGATACCCTGACCCACAAACCAACCCTGCAGTGAAACTACCTCAAGGGACTTGGCCAGTGAAGCTCAACTTCCTCCATTTATTATTTCACCCCACAAAATTAAGCTATAAATCTTACCTGACTTTTCCTCACGGTCACATTTAAAATCGTGACACTTGTATGTTCCCTAAGATTGCTCTGACTGGTAGTTAATTACATTTTTAATGTCACTGATCATTTCCAGGAGGGGTTGTCTCTGGGTCTCCCCTTCTCTGCATGCATTTTACACAGCATCTCCTCATTAAGAAATGCTTCCTTGGAAAGGGATAATACCATCCTGCTAGCACTCAGGGGAAGAAGTGATCCAAGTCTTTCCAGGAATTAAGCAAGCTGGGAGAAACCTTCATTTTGGCCTTTAAAAAGAATCAACTGAAAATTACTTTTGTTCCCAGAAGGGGACATTTGGGGAAACAATCTGCAGAGTGACCCAGCCAGGTCTGCTTAAGAAATGGGCCCATCCAGTTACAGTCCTCACATCAGAAAAGTCATCAGGATTGCCAGTGGCTGAGGGGAGGAATGGGACTGCCACTGTGCCTTCTACTGCCTGTGAGGAGTTTTGAATGCCAGACTACCTCCAGCTGCTCCACTCAACCTCATGAAGCCTCATGAATGGGGCAGCACAGGTAAGCTGGAGCTCCAAGGGAATGACAGCCCCATAGTTCTGAGCTCTCCTTGGAGGGACACTGAAGACAGAAACACTCCTGAAATCCAGCTGGACTTCATACTGCTGACCACAACCTCTGAGCCCAGCATTTCAGCCAGTTTTCAGTCTACCTCACTGTACACATATACTGTATCTCATCAGTCTGTCTGTGAGGATACTGTGAGAAGCTCTGCTGAACACTTTACTAAAGCAGAAGTAACAACCACTGCTCTCCCTTCACCACCAAGCCTGTCACTTCAAGGTAAAAGGCTGTCAGTACAGTTCAGCATGAATTCCCCTCCACAAATCCATGCTGACTACTCCTGACCACATTCTTATCCTTCATCTGCATGGAAATGATTTCTAGGAGGATCTTCTCTACCACCTTCCCAAGGACCAAGGTGAGCCTGGCTGGCCTGCACATCCCCAGATCCTTCTTGAAGACAGATGAACATTTGCTTTGTTTCCATCATCAGGAACATCCCCCAGTGACCCCAACCCTCCAAAGATAATCAAAAGTGGCCTTGCAGTGACATCAGCCTTGCAGGTGCAGCCCATCAGTTCCCATGGCACTTGAAATAAAGAAGATCCCTCCCCTTAAACCTCTAAATAGCTAACTCAAAACACACTCCACAAAAGCATTTCAAAGAATGCAACTGAAATGCTGTGTGCTGAATGTTTAAAAGACCCTCTTGCTGCATCCACACCTAGCAGGTATAAACCAAGCCATTCTGTATCCACTTTCACTGCAAAAGGAACAAGCAAGAAGAGCTTTGTTCCTGTTCTTGGAATATAAGTGCATTAAAAAAATCCAAGTGTCAGGCATATTGCCCTGTCACTTCTGCAAATCTATTTTCACAAGGACACATCCTCATCTCTGTATTTACTGCTAATGCAAAGCAAAATCCAAAGGAAAGGATTCCCCAGTATAACTATAAAGTTATTTTTAAAAGCCAAGTTGCACAATGTGTGCACATTTTAGTGTCTTTTCATAGACAAGAAAGTAACTGACTGAACACCTCCTCCTCTTTTGAAATGTGTTTCTAGAGTAACTGGAACAGAAGGCTTTGGTACCATGGCCTGCAACTGAAGCAGAAAGAAAACAGTGGCAGAAAATAAACACGAAAACCAATGACCAGCAGAAAGCCCAGACAAGGAGCCCCCATCTGCACTGCTGATACTTTACTTTTATCCCCTCCTCCTGGAAAGATGGAGCGCAGCCTGGCTTTCTTGTTCTTCTCCTCGGGGGCCATGGGGAGCGGCTTTGAGCTGTGGTTCAACGCTGAAGAATCGCGATTGTTGCTGTTCATTCTCAACGGTGGAGCTGGAGGTTTCTCTTCAATATCCAGACTATCGGACATCTTCAGCAGCCCTCACAGCCTCCTGCAAAGCACAACACAAAACATGCCTGTCAAGGGAGGATGCCAAGGCTGGTGGCTTGGGCAGGAAAAGCTTTCTAGTGGCATGAGAAAATCTCTCTGTTAGAAGTCTGCTCTGAAAAAGGTTGCTCCTGGTTGCTGTAAATAAATTCACTGGCTAATTCCTATAAAGCAAGGTACTACCTTTAAAATATAGATTTTTTTTAATAGCACTGTTACACATTTTTGCAGTTTTCATTTATAACTATTTCCCTGTAATTGTTTACAATCCAAATTTTCCTCTGAAACAGACTTCCAAATAAAAGTTAAATGACCCACTGAAACTACATGGCATTGTAGTCAATAATTTTTTGCTATGTAAGAAACAAGGTCCTCATTGAGGAAATATGGGTAGCAAGCAATACTTCATAAAATTAACTTGCTTAAGACCCAAAAATAGAGTACATGATTTCAGACAGATCAGAAGTGATGTGGGGTATACTTTTTAAACGTTGTGATTCTATAGGCATCTTGTCTTCCATCCCCTAAAACCAATGTGGCTCCTTTTACAGAAGGCACATGCACATCACTGAATGTGTTCTGGATCTCTCCTCATGCTGATTCACAGGTAACACAAGCTACTGCCCTCATCGAAGCAACTTGTTTTTCAGCTATGGAAGATGTAGGGCTTTTTTCAGAACTATCAACCAAACATGGTGACTGTCACACAGAGAGGTCCTGAAGCTTCAGCTGCTCTTCCTTTGGTCAGGTAAAGCTGCATGGTTGAGAATTTTTGGGGATGCATGGTTGGACTTGGGTTGCTTTTGGTTTTTTTTTATTAGAATGGAGATTAACATTTTCAACAGCCACATTTATTTTGATATAACTGTAATTTTGCCAGATTTATGGGTGGTACATCAATAGGAAATAATGAGATCCACATTGCCTTAACTGATGTTACCTTACAATGACCAACTAAAACATTTAGGAATGTTCACTTTAGACTGTTTTTCATGACATGGGCATTTTAGCCTTTGTTACCATTTTTAAATTACCACACATAAAATGATCACTTTTAAAAATTGCTTGACTTACATTTTTAATTTCATCTGAATTAAATCCCAAAAAGCCTGATTTGGAGATTTAAAGCACCAGTCCAGTGAAAAGAACAACAAATGAAATATACCATCACACCTCTAGTTTGCATCTGACCCCAAATACCGAGATCTCCATGGGATCCCATGGACCCATCCAAAGGTCACACAGCTGAAAACTCTGGCAACAGCTGGGTCCCAGTCCTCTCCCTAGTACAGACAGCATGGAGCAGTGATCCTGGAGATCCTGATTCACAAACACACACCTGAAGCTGCTACTAAGCCCAGTTGTTCACCTCCATCAGGGGAGCAGTTTGAATGAGCACCTTCCCAGCTACCTTCAACTGGTTTGTGTTAAATTAGTGACCTGACCTTCTTCAGCACCTTTTCCCTGCAGCAAATTAGGGAGACTTCAAACAATTGCTCTGCTGGTAGATCAGTGTGGTGTTCACCATCCAAAGAGGATGTCTATCACAGGCTCACCCTGTGTCAACTGCCAGACCTCCCCTACACCACGGGTCTGTTCACCTCCACCTGTAACTGCAGGTATCACCGAACCACAGGCAGCCACTGACCAGGTGTTGGCTCTCTAGAGCTTTGCCTTCAGACCTAAAAGCTTGGAAAAGATCACACACATGTGAATGGAGAAACGTACGGGAGGCAGCTGTCAGAGAGAATGATGTGTCTGTCATTTGAACCACACCATCTAGGAAAGAACAAGTGATCCTTCAGAAAAACCACAGTCCCCAGCATGTGTCTGGTTCCCAAGAGAAGGCCCTGCTCACACAGTCCCACTGTCCAGGTAAAGACTGGTCATGGAGGAACACAGCTCACCCTCCTGCAGAAGCACGCACACAGGCAGTAAAGTGTTTTGTATCACCCAGAAACAGCTGTCATTGTGCCCAGACCAGAGCTTGTGCCAGTATAGTTTTCAAGTACAGACTAGCCTACTTACCTAGAGAACTAAATGCTTCTGTAGATTGAGGTCAAACAGTTAATATTACTAATCTTTGTGATTTCCATCCTGAAATGCAGAAGGTTTTCTAGTAAGGAACGTGCTGGGGGGGGAGCCAGTAATGAAAACCACTGTGGTACCAGGGAGATCCACACGTGCTGTGTTTGTTACCCTGGTGAAGGGAAGGTCCATGCTGCCCAAGTTGCTGTACAGAGTTCCCAGTTTATAAAGCCCAGCAGAGACATGTGGACACAGCTCCCTTATCTCCAGCAATTCTCAAAGATCAGGAGCTTATGCAAGCAATGTTTTTATTTTCTCTTTAAGCCACCTACAAACAGTTTTCCAGTGCCAAATACAGCCTTCCCTCCCAGGATGATCAGTGTGAAGATGACCACAGGAGCACCAAGGCTCGTTTTCAGCTTGTTATCAAAAGCAAGGCAGTTATGCTGAGAAGTCCCTTACAGGCCACAGTTTCAGCTGTCCCTCAGAATGGGACAACTGTACCTGTCACTGCATCTATTTGTAAACAATGCCAGTCTGCTGAAATAGGTCCTCCCATGGGATTTCATCCCACAAAGAATACTATTAACAGTTTCTGGCCCAATTTGCCTATGATGTAATTATTTCCAAGATTTTGAAAGGAACACTATATTTTGTTCAGAGCTGTTTCAGGCTCAGTTTCAAGAACTGTACAAAGCTCTTTTATTCACTTCCAAACCAGGGGAAAAAAAGAAAAAAGCGGGGGAAGATAGCCTAGAAGGTTTAACAGTTGATGTTAACTTCTAAAGCTGGTTTAAATCAAGACTAAAGCAGACCACAAAGCAATACACACCAGAAGACTTAAAATTTATGGTTTTCCTGATCAGAGGAATCTATCTGCTCTTCCATTAATTCTAATTTTGAGATTTTTTCATGTACCACTGCATCATGACAAAAGAACATTCACTATCATGTAAGACTTCATATTTTAAGTGTTTTGTACTGATTTACTCCAACCCAAACCTAGAGAAAACCTGTAATGAATGGAGGGGCAATAAGATACACTCAGATGGGAAAACTCTCAGATTTACATTGCAGAGAAATGTCAACAGCAGATAGCTCAAGTTATACTCTATTCTGGGGCCAGGTTTTCCTGTCATTATAACAAGTCCTTGGTCCTGCTAGACTACTTCTGACTAACTCCATCAAAACACATTTTCTGTCTGCTGGAAATTACTGTGGCATATCCATATATTCAGTCCATCAAATTCTGGTGTTATTTCTCTTTTTTTTTCTTTAGGCATTTTTTCATTGCTTGGGAGTTTCGGGGTGTGGAATTTTTTTTTTGGTAGGTTTGTGCTGGTTTGTAAGCTGAAACAACACAGCTACCAGAGCACTTGACCATACCCACCAGGCCATGACAGCCACCCAGGCTGTCAGCAGGGACAGCTTCTAGAGAAGCCAGCTGGTGTTCACCAAGAGAATGGAGTGCACAATCAACAGGATTTTCCTCATCTCAGTCCTCAAGGACCCCATTAGTGCAACCAAGACAGTGCTGGTAACACTTTTAAAAGAAATGTGTAAGATAATCACACTTGTGCAACAACTACCTACTTCCAGAGAAAAATCTTGTCACTGCCCATCAGCTTTAAGTAAGCATTTAAAAAGACAGACTGTTGTACCAAAATACAACAGTGTATTTGAGTGTGTTAGCTAGAGTTTCCCAGCCAAATGGCAAATGCTAAAATAAAATTCTCAGCCAGGTCAGTTGCTTCTGCATAACTACTACAGGATTACAGAAAATGACCCAATATCCATTTCCTTCCTCCTTACCTCTTCTAATCATCAGTTTTGTTAAGTAAGAAGACAAACATTGACTTTAAATATATGTCATTCATCTTCTCTGTGACTCAATTCCCCCTTTGCAAAAGCCTGTCTTGTAATATTTCTGTGTCTAGTCCTTGACAAGCTAGGGAGTAGAGGAAGGAAGACATTTGAAGCACTCAAATGTCTTCAAAACATAATATACACACAAAAGATTTGTTCAATTCAGTTCAAGTTCAGAGCAGAATCTCATGCTGGGCCTTGATCTCAGTAAGCTCTTCACCCCCTGTGTATCTGGGGAACACTGTGGATAGATCTTGAACAGCTTTCTTAGGCTAGCCCTGCTATTTCAAAGCCTGCATCCTCTAAACATGACTGGTTCCAATTAGAACTCACAAGTAGTATCCTGTGTGCAGAGACACTGGTGATCATTTCCAAAGCCTCAGAGATATTACTGCAGCTTGTGATGCAGCAAAACTGTCTCCAAGATCACTTGACTGGAAGGGACCATGCCAATTTTCAGGCAGTAGCTTTGCAAATGTAACTTGAAGATCTAGGGCTCACTCTTTGTTTATGAATATGCTTCCTGCAAAAAGATATTTATTACTTAGTTGTTTGGGCCAGATTTTTCTCCCAGTGACACTTATCCATTTCCAAAAATCGATGATGATGTAACTGAGAAGGATTCTCTCTAGATATTGAGTACTGAGACACTGATCAGGTATTTACAGAGTATATCTCAGCCCAGTTCAGACCTGTATCTGCTCTCCTACATCTGCGTGTTTACTTGCAGTTTTCTTACAGCTTCTTTAAAGAGCAGATAATGAGCTGGACAGAACAGATACAGTCATGATTTCATTACTTTTGTGGAAGATGCTTACTGTCTTCTCTGTAAAACTTGGGTAAGTTAAAATACAATACCGAGGCCTTTTTGATAAAAAATGGCCATATTCAGCATCAGCTGAAGCAGAGACAATTCTGCCTGGGTACTCAGGGTCCGTAACACCCCAGGGCAGTCTGTGCTCAGCTGCTTCCACCCTTGGGTGCCTGCAGACCATGCAGGTGTGTGGGGCTGGCTCTGCAGGCAGGGCAGACACAGCCAGGTGCCCTCTGAAGTGAAGACATCTTTTGTAGGACCTCCCCCGCATGCACGTGGTGCAAAACAACCACTGC